TCGTGCGGAGGAGGGATGCGGCCGCCTGCAGTCCAACCTGGCCGGAGGAGACGGGCCCGCGGCCGCAGGTCACTGCCTTGATCGTTGTAGGAGCGTCTCCGTCTCAGACCCCGAAGCACTTGGCCAAAGGAGGAGCGGGTGACAAGGGAAAGCGAGGCACAGAGGGGGCAGACCGGTATCACCCAGTCCGTGTCAATGCCCCCCGCTGTGCGCAGCTCGAACCCACAACCTTGGGGTGCCCAGGTCAATGCCCTAACCCCTAGGCCAATGCCGAGACTGCGCCACCTCCCAACCTTCAGGGCGTCCAACCAACACAGGCTACAGAACCCATCAAAGGCAGGGGAGGTGGGGTAGACTCAGGGGTGGCCCGTGGCTGCCGTCGTCTTCAACGGTGCCCGCTGATGACGTCACCCCACTGACCGCCGTGGAGGCGGGGGCACCAATCGCACCTGGGTAGACTTAGCTCTGGGGTGGCCTAGTGGGTAGAGCAGCGGTTCCCAACCTTTTCCAGAGGAGGACCCCGTTGGACAATTGAGGAAGACTTGGTGACCCAAGGCAATTCAAAACCGGGGGGGGCGAGGGACGAGGAAAGGCAGAGCCCCCTGGGGAAACACGTGGCGACCCTTTTGAAATGAAATGGGGACCCATATTTGGGTCCCGACCCACAGGTTGAGAAACCCTGGGATAGCGTATTCACCTGGACAACACAAGGTGGTGTGGGTTAAGTCCTGGGAGCGACTGGACGACCAATACAGGCTGCCCCACAGATGGACCAGGCTACTGCATCAGGAAGACAGGATAAGGGACTTCCCAAAGGTGTGTGGGAGGGTAGACCCCGGAGTGGCCTATGACAGTGCCCCTCCACCCCTAGGGTATGTCTAGACTACAGGGTTTTGTCGACAGATACTGTCGACAAGTCTTCTGTCAACAAAGAGAGTCTAGACTACATCCAGTTCTGTTGACAAAGCGTCTAGACGACATCCAGTTCTGTCGACAAATTTTCTGTTGACAAAGCGTCTAGACGACATCCAGTTTTGTCGACAAAGCGTCTAGACGACATCCAGTTTTGTCGACAAAGCAAGCCGCTTTGTCGACATAACAGTTTGGACGCCAAGGAC